ATCAATGGATATCATGAGATCTCATGATCTCATGTATCATAGGGGTTGCACCGGATTCGAAGCCTATATATATATATATAAATGAAGAGAAATTATTAATAAAAACTCATAAATAAGGAGTTTGAATGAAATGTGTGAAATTTAAATATAAATTTATCTCTTTAAAGTAAGAAATTAGTCAAAGTTAATGCGGGTTACATATGTAAAGGAAGAGAAATCATTGATAAAGATTTGTAATGAGCGATGAATTAAGATGTGTAGATTTTGGCATTAATATGAAGATAGTCAAAGTCAAGACTCGTTATATATGTAAAGAAAGACAAATCATTAACGAAAATTCACAAGTAAGAAAGGGACGAATGAAGATACGTGGATTTTATGTGAATTTAATTCTTTCGTGTAAAAAGATAGTCAAAGTCAATGACGGTTATATATGTAAATGAGGACAACTCATTAATGAAGATTGATAAGAATTGGACAAATAAAGATGTGTCCATTTGTATGTGACTTTAGTTCTTTCAAGTAAGAAACTGGTCAAAAGTCAAAGCGGTTACATTTATAAAGGAAAAGAAATCATTAATAGAGACTCGATCATAAGTAAGAAGTGGATGAATGGAGATGTGTAGATTTTGACGTGGATTTAATTCTTTCAAATAAGAAGTTAGACAAAGTTAGACATTTTACATATATAAATGAAAAGAAAACAATCATAAAGACTCATAAGGAGTAGACAAATGAAGATATATCGAATTTGATGTGAATTTAATTCATTCAAAAAAGAAGTTAACCAAAGTCAAGTTTGTTACATATGTAAAGAAAGATAAATAATGAATGAAAATGTTTAAACTTTGCCGTAAATGCTTGTTACATGTATAAAGGAAGACAAACCATTAATGAAGACTCATAAGTAAGAAAGTAATTTATTCTTTCAAGTAAAAAGTTAGTCAAAGTCAATGTCGGTTATATATGAAAAAAGAAGACAATTCAAATGAAGATTGATAAGAAGTGGACAAATGAAGATGTGTGAATTTTCATGTGACTTTAACTCTTTTAAGTAAAAAAAAAAGATAGTCAAAGAGTCAATGACGGTTACATAGGTAAATGAAAAAGAAATCATTAATGAAGAGTAATTGATGATTTATAAGTTTATTATTAGGAGATTAACCATGCTAAATTTTAGAATTATCTATTTCAACAAATATATTAACAAAGAAAGACTCTATAATTGATTGATCTAACAAAAAAACAAAGAACAAAGAACTCATCAATTAAAATTACAATAAGCAAGAAAAAAAATAATATAAAACTTTTATCATAATTAATAAGAATTAGAAATAAAGTAGTAAAATCCTTTGTGCTAATTACTATGTAGGGTGATGATACCTCTTTTATCATTCCAAATGTGTGGCTATAGGATCAAACTCTGGTGATAGGGACGATAGTATCTTATAAATAATCATGAGTGTTTAAAAAAATACAATTCTTTGTGATTATGAAAGTGATTTTCAATTCAATCTAATTGAAACACATCAAAGCATGATAACACCCATATAAATAATTAATATATCAAAAAAAAAAAAAACTATTTCATAGAAAGTTGCTAACAACATTAACAACTTAGAAGGAACAAAAAAAAAAAGGAAAGATAAAAAGAAAAACGAAATATAATTACAGAATAAACTATACTCAATGTACAAGATATAACTACAAATAATCCTTTATATAATAAAGCTATATGGTTTGGGAAATAATTAATGCTACAATTAATGCCACAACATCTTTTATTATAAAAAAAGTGCAACATTTAAAAAATAAAATAACTATATATTATAATAATCATATAAAAAATATACTTTTGAAAAATAAAATAGCTATATATTATATAATCATATAAAAAATGTGTTCAATTAGAGTTTAAATTTTTACACATACAAAATTAGAAATTTATTTTCCAAATGTAATTATCTTAGTTATTATTCGTATTGTGAAAATTATAATATAGATGAAATACAATTAAGAATAAATCAATGTAATTATGTAAATTCTCTTAAGTTTATTTGAATATGCACATAATTAGAAATTATATTAACCATACAAAATTATAATTATAATTTTAATTGTAATTTTGTATTCTATAAAAATAATAAATACTTGATCAATGGAAGCTAAAAAATATTATTATATTAAATAATTTAAAATATTTTAGTTTTTCTATTTTTTATTTATATTTATAATAACATAATTTTTTCTCGTGCATCGCGCGGGTGAATTACTAGTTATGCATTATAAGAATTATATCAAAATTATTTTACATTTAATCATTTTTAAACTTTTTTTTTTAATTTTAGTTACTTTTTTTTTTTTTTTTTTTTTAAGAATATGTTAAACAACTTAAATTTCAAATCTAAGTTTTACAAACAAAATGTTTCATATATGTTTAATTAAGTTTAAACATTATGTCAATGAACTTGTGGTCTAGTGTCATGAAGTAACTATTTCAAATGAGAGATTATAGGTTTGAGCCCTAGTGGAGGCGATATTGACTAGAAATAACAACTATAGTATTAGGGATGACCACAAATCGTGTACGGTAGAAATTGAACCGGAACCCAAAAGGTTTCGATTTCGATTCTAAACTGAAAATAAATAAATAACAAGAGTTAATTTCACCAGAGGTCCCTTGTCTTTTGTGACAATTCCAAATTTAGTCACATACTATCGTTTTTGCTATTTAACATCCTAGACTATTATTTTTGGACACTTTTAGTCATTTTCATGACTTTTCATATTTTTAGTCCTTCTCATCCGGTTGTACACTTTTAGTCATTCTCATGACACTTTTAGTCCTTCTCAATCGGTTTAATTGGTTTAGAACTTTAGGTAACCTCTAATTTTTAATAACAATATTTTTCAACCAATTTTTAGTAAAGTCCTAAACCAATTAAACCGGTTGAAATCGAAAAAATAACAAAAGAAAAATATGAAGAGACAAAAATGTCCTTATTAACAATATGAAAAGTTATGAGAAGGACTAAAAGTGTCCAAAAAAATAATAGTATGAGATGTTAACTGACAAAAATGATAATTTGAGGAATTGACACCAAGAACAAGGGATCTCTTGTGGAATTAATTCTAAATAACATTTTTAAGTTTAACTATTATTTGATTAAAGTTTAAACTTTAAATAACAATTTAAAGTTTAACTATAACATGTTGTAAAAACAAACGTATCCTCACGTGAATAGTTGTACCATTTCGATTGCCGTAAAGTAATATAAGGTAAAGAGAAAGAAAATACAGAGAAGAATCATCAATCTTTATTAATTATCCTTCAATTCCAATATATACAAGATATACAAAGTTCGGATAACTAAACTACTATAAAGGATGAAGATGTATTATCATAAATTCATAATATAATACCTAATGTAATGTCTACATATATTTATTTACAACATAACAATTTTTTTTTTTTTTTTTTTTTAGTTTGACTTTAAAGTTTAAAAAATTAATTGTTGAATTTGAAATATTTTAAAAATTAGAAAACATAATTTACAAAAAAAATAAATAAATTCAATTCGAATCGACAATTTAATCATTTTTTGAAACTGTGAACCTCTGTAGCGACAATGTGAAAATTATGCTCAAAGTAGACAAATTCCTTGTATACACCGACATTTGGTCTTGCCTGTTGGGCTATTGAGTTAGCGTGATTACATCATCTCAAATACTCTGTCGGGTTAGAGTGTGGACAACTCTTGAAGTTGGAATTCAACTTTTTGGGAGAAGAATTGAAATTAAACTGGAACCGAACCGTTATATATATATATATATATACATATATATATATATATATATATATATATATATATTTATATATTGAGTGCTACCGACTCTGTTATAATGCAGTATCTGTTCATAACTATTTTTTCAACCTACTGACGTATAAAGAATAATATCGTCTCTACTGAGTGTTAAACTCATGACCTCCCATATGCTCACCGTTATATGTTTAAGTTAGAAAAAAAAAAAGAGTTAATACCCAAAATAGTCCCTCGACTATGTCGTAATTACCAATTTGGTCCTCGACTATCATTCTTACCCAATTAAGTCCTCAACTATACAATTTTTACCCAATTTAGTCCTTTGTCAATTTGACTGTTTGTTGACTGTCAAAAGTGGAAATAAAGTTATAATTTTACAAGTTTTCTCCCTCCTCCTCATTTAGCAGCGCCAAACCATGTAGCAATAAGCTCCGGTTGGGTTCTAAACTTGTCAGTATCGAAGTAGTGGTTATGCATCGGATAGCCCATGAATTTGATTTCCAACGATTTTTTGACGATCGAAATCTGATCGGAGTGTATTGCTGCATGGTTTGGCGCTGCTAAATGGAGAGGAAGGAGAAATCTTGTAAAATTATAATTTTATCCTGACTTTTGACAGTCAACAAACAATCAAATTAATACAGAGGACTAAATTGGGTAAGAATTGTATAGTTGAGGACTAAATTGGGTAAGAATTGTATAGTTGAGGACTTAATTGAGTAAAAGTTACATAGTTGAGGACTTAATTGGGTAAGAATTGTATAGTTGAGGACTAAATTGGGTAAGAATTGTATAATTGAGGACTTAATTGAGTAAAAGTTACATAGTTGAGGACTTAATTGGGTAAGAATGGTAGTTGAGGATCAAATTGGTAATTATGGCATAGTCGAGAGACCATTTTGGGTATTAACTCAAAAAAAAAAGAGAACTGATGGGAGATGCTCCCGTACCGTGCGGGAGACAGAGTAGCAGATCCCCAAAATTTGAATTTTGTGTGAAGAGTGAAGACTCAAGGGAGAGTGAGACTCGTGTCTCACGTCATCACCCATTTCAAAACTGCCCACTTTCTCACAACGTTACTTTACAATTACCAATTTGCCCCCAAGTCCACAACCAGAACGGAGTTATAAATTACTACTGTAAAACGTTGGAATCAATATTTTCACTTCTCATTTCTCACCGGCACCACAACCCTCATACACTCCTTCTTGGCTCCTTCTTCATTTCTTTCAAAAAAAAAACTGAAAATGGAGGAAGAACCCGCAAGATCTCCTCCTCCAACTACCTCTGAGTGTATAATCTCCGTCCCCAATTCCCCTTCTTCGGATACAATCACGGAATCCGCTGCTAACGGGAACGCATTGGCGCTTTCGCTGTATGTTCAGCCGGAAAATGAGCCCTTGCCGGTTCCGTTGAGGGTTTGTTACCCGGATTCCGATTCCCCCGCCCCGATTACGTCTCCAAGAAGGTCCTCGAGGTCCACTTCTAATAAGTATAAGACTGTATCTCCTGCATTGCCCTCTGCCGCTTCTAAAGCTACTCCGACGCGGCGGCTCTCGTTGACTTCGGCGGCGGCGGCGGATGCTGCTCAGACTGTGGGGAGGATGTCTCTGGAATTTCCGAACAAACGGCGTCGTATTGGTGCGGGGGCGAGTGAGCAGGGTGGGGAAGTAACGGTGGTTAGAAGATCCCCGAGGCTCAGTCAAACGGAAGGGAAATTGCTAGCATTGCCGGAGCCTGAGGCGAAACCGAAACGTCATTCAAGTAAGAAGGGGTCAAAGGAAGTCGTCGCGCATGTCGGGGCTCGGAAGGAACAACTGGAGAAAAGTGATTCTGAGGGGGGCTTGAGATCTCGGAAAGTCAAGCCCGTTTCGATTGCATTGTCTGATAAAGGAAACAATTCGCCTAAGACGACTTCAAAGAGAGAGGCTTTGACTGGAGATAGTGAAGGTGAGCAGAAATTCGCTTCTCCTGAGAGAACAGCTTCCGTTACTAGTGATTTAGTTCGTACAGATGACTTGACGGAACATGTTTCTAGTGAATTATCTGATTCTGCAGAAGAAAGTGAGTTGGAGGAAGGAAATTCGGGTGTAAAGTGTTTAAGGTCCAGAAAAATTCGGTTTCCAGTGGTTTCAGAACAAAATGCAGCGAAAACACCTGCATTCAGTAATGGGTGTGGTGTTGATAGTAAAGATTCAACAAGCAAAGGAAACGAGTCATGTACTTCCTCAAAGAGAAAGGAGAAGAATAAGAGGCCAGGGGCGTGTTTTATTGGGGAGCCTATACCTGCAGAAGAAGCTCAAGAGAGGTGGCGATGGCGGTATGATTTAAAGGTGGTAATTATTTTCATTTACATCACTTATTTGATGGAGTAGTAAATAATTGGTGAATTGCAAATAGCTAGGAGTTTTAGCCAATTTCTGGAATTGTTATGATCATGTGGCATATGATAGCATGCTGTTAATATTCCTTATGTGTCTAGTATTTGTGGCTCAAATTGCACACATCATGGCATCACATGGAAACTTCTGTGCTGAATTTTTAATGGTAAGTTATGTGTTTAAATAGAAACATTTTCAATTATAGAAATTTTGCACAAGAAATGAAATGGTTACTGGTACTAGACTAGATAGAAGCAAGGTGGGGGTCACTCTTTCTTAGGTTCTGATTAGTTGTGTGGTCGGTTTCCTCTCATTGAGTAACCAATTGGTTTATCCATTTACCTGTAGAGTTATTGCATGTGGACGATGATTACTTGCTTAGTACAAGTCGTAGTAGTTCACTTTTTATTTTATTTTACAGAGATGTCAAGATTATATACTCTTTAGGTATTTGGCATGTCAGCATTGGGAGAAGTGATTTGGTTACATTCTTTGGGAATTACTGCGCTTAGACGAGGCAGTTGTTCTTACATTGGTTGAGAGTTTGGCATTGAATGGCCCACTCTTTCTTGACTAAACCTGAAGCCAATGATGATGGCTGATTTTGTGTTATAGGTGTATAAGGACGATCACTTTCTACTGAGCTAGAAATAGTAGGATTAATTAAAGGGTCACTTTCTATTTATCTTGGAATAGTAGGATTTACAAGATCAAGCTTAGATTTGAACATTTGGATAGGGGTGAACTTGGATTTGAGTGGAACAAAGGAGCACGACCTAGACATAGGTAGATCATAAAGGAGAGAGACAAAGAGTCTTTTCATTAGCTTGCATTAATGTCATCTCCCACTAAAGATTGTAGAGGCAATCTATCTCCCTAGCATGTCCAATCATCTGATCATCTCCATTATGCTCTTTTCGTAGAAGATTCAATGAGAAGGATAAAATATTACATCACAATTAGCATTTTGGTTAGTTTTTGGATTGACAAAAGTTTGGTGAAAAATTTTGAGACATAGAGAACATTTTGCAATGTAAGTGAATCACTAATAAAGTTATCTCTTTGACTAGCAACCATAGTGGCTACGCCATCAGCTAATCTGATTTTCCTATTTTACTAGGGCAGCAATGCAGCATGTATATAAGATAAACCTAAGGTCATATGTATGTGGCTCCTAAGTTGATAATGACCCGTGTGTTGGGGTTATTACCCAAAACATTAGAAGGATGAGTGGATATCCATGAAAAGGGCTGAGCTACTGCCTACTAGTACCTGTTGAAGTAGGCAGCTTTTCTAGTAAACTTAATAGGTTCCTCAACTCAATCTCATTTTTGTTGGATCCAAAAGATGTTTCTTTGGTTGTTATTATCTTCCGTCAATTGCACTCCACCCATATGCATTTTGGAATGAGAGCTAGAAAAGGAAAAAGTTTCTAGAATGGGAGCCAGAAAATTTAAAAGGAAAGTGTTTTATGAATGTGAAGCAGAAAAGGAAAAGGTTTCTAGAATTGGAACCAAGAAATTCTAAAGTAAAAATGTTTCTAGAATGAGAATAAAAAAGTAGAATTGTCTATGGGAAGAATATGAATTTCCAAAGAGAACCTAAGCTTTAAAACCATGTTGGAAATAGTGATTTTATATTGAACAAAGTGAATAGCCAACAATGGTATAGGCACCTATATATATACAAGAATAATCAAGGTTTAAAAAGGCGAGGCAGAAAGTTTGAGCATTGAGGCTTCCGCCTCTCAGGCAAAATGAGAGGCGTACGCCTCGGGCGTGTCTGAGGCGGTAATTGAGGCTATTTAGGCCCTTTTATATTTCAGAGTCCAAATGTTATTTTTTTAAGCCAAAAAAAACCCAACCCAAATCAACCCTAGTTTGACTAAAGATAGGAATTAGAAGTCTGAAATGTGTAAGAATGAATTCAAAGAAACCAGCAACGGGAAGTGCGAACTGCGAAGTCTGGTGTTAGAGTATTATATATATGTATGTATATAACTAATATCTTAGAGTGACACTTGATAGTAGTATATATATTGTGTTAGATGACTCATTCACTCATTGCACTATGGCAGTAGGCACTGTCGCAGTGTCAGTAGTCCTACTGTGGACTGTGATAGGATTAATTTACAGGATTACAGCTTACTAATATATTCTGAGGCTAAAAATTGAGGCTTACGCCTCAATACGCCTCGAGGCTTACGCCTCGCCTCCAAATACAAAACGCCTCAAGGCACGCCTCCGCCTTTTAAAACCTTGAGAATAATGCATCATGAACTGCTCAATTTCACTCCTAGGTTGGTACACTTTTGCTTGATATATTCTAGGTTGATGCACTGCAGGCAAGTTGGATGGTGGCTGCTAAACCCTTAGACTACTACATTTTACACGTTTCATATGTTCTACATGCGACTCTTAGAGAACATTAGCACTTAACACTTTCCAATGCTTTCCTTAAATAAAATTTGTTTGTTATCAATAAAAATGGTATAACAGTAAATCTGCATGTAAAAGTTTGCTTTCTGAATACTCTTTATTCAATGCTAATTTCCTTCTTTCTTTTATTTGTATTTTTAGTTTTTAAACATGATGGCCTAATTGGAATTGCAAATTAGAAATATAAAAGAATGTAAGTGATACAACCCTGAGGTTGTATAGATTGCTCTTCTTCGAGTCTTGAGCTAAACTCCAGAAAAGGGGGGAGAATAGACATGGCTGTGCTTCGAGTGGCAGCCTAACTCCAAATGACTATGCTTCGAGTGATAGTCTAACTCCAGAAAAGGGAGATGAAGGAGAAATTGTCACCAGACAATTCAATAATATATTCTTCGGTTCTTTCTTCAGATACATAGGTAGGTATATATCCAGGATCATAAAACCACCCACTAACCCATTAGTGCATTATAATTACCCATGATTCCCCTATACACTAATAATAATAATAATAATAACTGCAACAACATGAGTGTATCATCTGCGCCCATCAAATTCACAAACAATGTCAACAATCACCATTGAAGACCCCCAGTTCTTCCACACAATTGACAACATGGTTTTCCCTTGCCTTGTCATCAACCTCGCCTGTTGCCCGGTGAAATCTCTACTAGTCATGGTACTGTGGCTTTGGCTTGAAGATCTACACTTCCAAAACATCGTTGATAAAATGGTGGAAGTTTCCAATTCCGTCGTGGATGGGTTGGCGAATGAAGTTGCTTTTTATTTTATTTTATTTTATTTTTTCTCAAGACTGGAAATAATTTTTCTATGTTGATACTCTCCATGAAAGCACCAATTGATACAATCCTAAGATTGTATGGATTGCTCTTCTTCGAGTCAAGAGCCAAACTCTAGAAAACGGGGGAGGAGAGACATGGCTGTGCTTTGAGTGGCAGCCTAATTTCAAATGACTATGCTTCAAGTGATAGTCTAACTCTAGAAAAGAGATATAAAAAGAGGAGATTGTCACCAGACAATTTAATATATATTCTTCAGTTCTTTCTTCAGATACATAGGTAGGTATATATACAAGATCATAAAACCACCCACTAACCCATTAGTGCATTATAACTACCCATGTTTTCCCTTTATAATAATAATAATAATAATAATAACGGCAACAACAACCTGAGTCTATCATTTCTGGCCATCATACTGTTGTTGCAGTTATTATTATTGTTGTTGTTGTTGTTGTATAGTGGGATAACCACTAACATTTAATAGGTAGTTATATATATAAGTAGTGGGGTATAGGGGTAGTGGATAGTTTCTATGATCCTGTATATATATATATATATATATATATATACTATATATAGAGCTACCTATGTACTTGTGTGTGTCACTGAAGAATATATTATTGAATTGTCTGGTAACAATCTCTTCTTCATCTCCCTTTTTTGGAGTTAGACTATCACTCGAAGCATAATCATTTGGAGTTGGGCCACCACTCGAAGCACAACCATGTCTATTCTCCCCCTTTTTCTGGAGTTTAGCTCTTGACTAGAAGAGCAATGTATACAACCTCAGGGTTGTATCAATTGGTGCTTTCATTGAGAGTATGAGTATCAACCTGGAAAAATTATTTTCAGGCTTGAGGCAAAAAAAAAAATTAAAGAAGAAGATTTATCGGCAACCCATCCACCATCAAGGGTGTTGAGCCTGCAACCTCCTCACATTCCACGAAGAATAATATCGCCACCAGTGTTCTCAAAGACACGGCGGAGAAAGTTGGTATTCAGGCTACCTCTGTGCCAGCGTCGTCGGATTGGATGGAACCATCTTTACATATCTGTAATTCAAGAATGCTGAGGCCTTATGTCCCAAATAATGTATATGATGCTTTTCATCTGATATAGACTGAGCCTGCCATCAAGAGAATGTTCATTTCACTGTCATCTGATAAAGCTGTTTGAGATGCTGTTTTGAACAATGAGGCAATGCAAGATCTCAAAGATTCACTCAAGCAAGTTGTGTTATGGTAGTGAAGGTACCTGATCGGACTTTCCCAGGGAGCACATATGAGGAATCTGTGGCGTCGAATGGGGAACCAAATGACGTTTGGAGATGGATTTTCAGCCATGCCAGGCTTGAGAAAAAAAAGGTGGGCAACATGCAATGGTAGGACATTAAAGATTCACATGCAGATATGTAGAGCTTGCAACAACAACACAGAGAGTAACACCCGTGGATTTGCAAAGCCTACAAAATGGAGCATCATGCCGGTAGAAAGTGCAGATGCAATCTACACTATATCATCACCTTGGAGACATTTTGTTAATTATCACCTTGAGGACAAGGTGATTTTGATGCGCGCTGAAATGATACACCCTTGATGTTGCTACAATTATTATTATTATTATTATTATTTATTATTTATTATTATATTATTATTATTATTGAAATAGTGGGATAACCACTAGACATTTAATAGGCACTTATATATACAAGTAGTGGGGTACAGGGGTAGTGGATAGTTTCTATGATCCTATATATATATATATATATATATATATATATATATATATATATATAGCTACCTATGTACTTGAAGAAGGCACTGGAGAATATATTATTGAATTGTCTGGTGACAAACTGACAATCTCTTCTTATCTCCATTTTTTGGAGCTAAACTATCACTTAAGCATAGTCATTTGGAGTTGGGCTGCCACTCAAAGCACAACCATGTCTATTCTCCCCCCTTTTCTGGAGTTTAGCTCTTGACTCAAAGAAGAGCAATCTATACAACCTCAGGGTTGTATTAGTAAGAATATTTGTATTTCTTTTTAATTTTTTATTTTAGTTATAGTTAGATAGAAGCTGTTAATAAAAATCAATCATTTAGTAACTATGGTGTACTGTGATGATGATGCAAGAAAAGCCTTTGTACAAATCCTTACCAAGCCCTTAACTAGGGACATGGGTTGTGGTGAAGTTTAATGGAGAAGGTAGTTAGGCTTTTGCACTTATGAATATGTTTTTGCAATTCTGCTCTTGAATTCTTTCTGAAAAAGCATCTGAGACTGATAGAAGCGTGGCATAATTTTTTAAAACCAAAGAAACAGATCAAAATGGTATGAGCCTCTAACCACTAGAAGTATTCTATCAACTAACTGGTTAATGAATGGTTTCTTTAGGAACCTTTTGATCTTCTATGTTCTTTGGCTATCTTTCAGCATTAGTTTCATACTCAATTTTCTTACATGAGTTATCAAAATTCTTAATTCTCATGAATCTTTTAACATTAGTTTATTCAATTTTCGTACATGATTTATCGAGTTCTTGATTCTCAAGATGTATGTCCTTTTGATTTTGCAGAGTCAAAGAAGTAAAAAACAAGGGTGGATACTAAAGTGAGTGATATCATATGAACTTGCCCTATGGCGGTAACAAAATGAGGTCCTGTTCTTCGCATTTTTTAAAACTTCTATTTGTCTTCACTCCTTTATATGGCACACTTGTTTTTGCAGTGCTGATGAAGAAGATGAAGTAATATTGAACGTGGATTGCCATTATGCTCAAGCTAAAGTTCTTAGCTTTATTTTGAATATTGGAGATTGTGTGTATGTAAAGGTATCATTATTTTATTCTTATGTATTTTTATATTGTTATTCCCCCCCCCCCCCCCCCCCCCCAACCCACCCAAAAAAAATCTTGGTTTTTTACAACACATTAGCCTTTTGTTTTGTTTTCTGGTGCTCTTTTTTTTTTTTTTTGTTTTTTGTTTTTTGTTTTTTGTTTTTTTTGTTTTTTTTGGCTTTGCTTTTCTTTTCTTTTCTTTCCTGGTTAAAACTGCGTTTAAATAATTTTCCTTTTTCAAGAACAAAATAAATCAACAAATTTGATGAAGTGGGTGGGCAAACTCGGATTGAGGGAGGTGTGGGGTGAAGGGTGGGATAGCTTGAGGAAGGTTATTGGTAGCATGGTGGTGAATCATTTGCTGGAGGAGTAAACATCTCAAATTTATTTCAAAGACCAATTACACTTCTTTCCCCCTCAAAATCATGCTATATTTTGAATATATATATATATATATATATATATATATATATATATATATATATATATATTAAAATTACTACTGTATTTTTTTCACAAGATCTAGAAACAAAGCCATTAAAACTGGAATAAAAACATTTGCAAATGGGCTCTTACCTCTTATGCCCTTACATTTTTGATTAGTGAACGTTTCACTTTAAAGTGACTTTTCACTTGATCGAAGCTGCCAAATGGCTACAGGTATGCTGTAAGAGATTTTGTTCACCCACTTTTGCATTGCAATTTAAGACAGGATTTTTGAACTATGGGAGCTACTTGTTTTGACGTTAAGTTAAAGGCATGTTAAAATTTTCAAGGGCTGGGTTAGACTAGAAGCTGATCTGGTCAGGCTAAGTTGATCAACTCTTTAGCTTTGCCATCCGTGTTTAGGATTGTTCATAATTGCTGGCAAAATGCATGCCTAGGCTAAAGAATTGATTATCTACTTGCTGATAGGAAATTCCTTAGATCTCTCATTTAGGTTTTCTGATAATGTAGTTCTGAAATGCCAATTGAGATTTCATCTTTTAGTGGATTTAGAAGTCAGAGGATTCCACAATGAGAATTTCCTCTGGTCATGTGTTGAAATGAAAGTGAGATTTACTTGCTAAGAAATTTCTACAGGGTGAAGGTGAGAAAAAACATGTTGGCAGGATCCTGGAGTTTTTTAAAACCACTGAAGGAGAAGATTATTTTCGGGTGCAATGGTTTTTCAGAGCTGAAGATACGGTTGGTTTGTCTTAGCTGAAAATCAAAATTTTGCCATTGTTTTCCAAGCAAGCATTTTAAACACTGAAACAATTCTCACCATTTGGTTCATACTTTTCTCTACTTGCAGGTTATGAGAGATGCAGCTGCTCTACATGATAAAAAACGTTTATTTTACTCCACTTTAATGAATGACAATTTACTTGACTGCATTATTTCCAAAGTAAATGTTACAGAAATCTCACCAGGGGTATGCTTCATTAATGAGCATTTATTATTTACAGTTCCATTCTGGATGCTTCTATTTTACACTTTATTAATGTATAACCTCTTTCCCACTTTTTGTTGTCTCAAAATGCTTTTATTTGATGCTTCACCTCCTGTCCTTAAATAGTTATTCAGTATATTAATGCTGCAGCTTGGTTTGGAAGTCAACAATAGTCCACCATCTGGTTTCTATTATGACATGGAATACTGTGTTGATTATTCAACGTTCCGTAACTTGCCAACTGGTAAGTTGTTCACTTGTCCACCATCATGTATTGTGAAAAATTGTTTCTAAACTTTGGTAATTGCTGCAGTACAATCAGTCAATAGCTGGGATTCACCTTCATTAATTGATGCATCATACAAGCCCATTACTGCTTATCCAGTGGAACATTTTAAAAGTTGTGAACCCAGTAAAGTGGAGTTGTCACTACTAGATCTCTATGCTGGCTGTGGTGGGATGTCGACTGGATTGTGCCTGGGTGCCAAGCTCTCTGGTCTAAATCTTGTGACTGTGAGTACAAACTCTGTAACTTGTTTAAAAACAACTTTTAGTCACTTAAAGTTTTTCAAATTTTAAAAGTTTCTTTTTCATATTATACTACTTCATTGTCTATTCCAGAAATGGGCTGTTGATTATCAAAAGTCTGCTTGCGATAGTCTGAAATTTAATCATCCTGAGACACAGGTAAGATGTTATTTGGGGTGGCAATAACTGAACTGCTTGTGTCAGCACATCTCAGCTGACATTCAACTTTGTTATACACTGTTATAGGTTAGGAATGAATCTGTTGAAAATTTTCTGAAGCTACTAAAAGAATGGGAGAAGCTCTGTAAAGAGTATGGAAGTGAGCCTAATGCAGGCTCTGATGATGTGTTAGAGGGCATGGAAGAAGGTGCAGATGATGCTAATTCTCTGGCAGATTCTGATGATTCAGATGCAGAATATGAAATTCTGCGCCTGGTAGATATCTGTTTTGGAGATCCTAATGATACTGGAAAGCCCGGCATACATTTTCAGGTATGCATGCATTTTATTTATGTAATTTGTTTGTGAGAGATCATTGGATAGTTGAAAATATAATTTGCATTTGAAATCCTTATGGAAAAAGAATTGAAGCATGTGCTCCATCGTAAGTTGATAGTCCCCTCACATGTGTGGTGGGTTGCAAGCAACACGTGGACCATAGTCGCTTATGGGGGTGGCGCTGAGATTCGAACCCATGACCTTTGGTCTGGCTCTGATACCAAATTGAAGCATGTGCTCCATCTCATTGCACATTAATGGCTATGCTCAACAAAAAGAAACACAGAGAGACCATGAAGAAATTATTTTGTTGGTAGTACCATGAATAATTCAAATGTTCTACAGTGAAATCCTTTCTCCTTGCCATTTGATTAGGTGCGTTGGAAAGGGTATGGACCTAGTGAAGATACATGGGAGCCAATTGATGGGCTGAAGTATGTACTAGCTGTCCATTACTTGCTAAGTATTCCATTTTGTTATGTTCCTGATTTTTCCTAAAGTTTGAAATTTGAAACCACTCAATATTCAAAATAAATTCCTTGCTTCTCTTGCATCTATTGTTAAAGAACAATTCTGACTATGCTAAATATAATAGTTCAAACAACTTGCTAAGTAATTTTGAAAATGGTAAGCATGTGGTATTATAAAAAGTTAAGTCTCTAAAGTAACCCAATAGCATGTAAGGAAGTGGTATTTCTAATTGAAGATGAGTAATAATAAGCATTCTCTATCCTACTTGGCTCCTTTACCCTTCCATTTTAAATGTGAACAATAAAGTTCACAGTAGCCAATTAGGCTGACTCTGCATTATGATAGAGAATGTTGAGCTGTGAACAAATAAATTGTCTATATGATATGATGTTTCATGGTTGTAATTGATGAGAATACTAAGATGGATGTTTGGTAATAAGTAAACATCATATTAAACATGGCTTGATTTGAAGTGAGGCACAAACTCCTTCAACGACAACTTGAGAAAAAAAAATCAATTAAGGTTGTTTGGAAATGCTTTTGCAGTTCTATATGTGCACTGGTTAGAAAGAGTGGTAATATCATAGTAATAGGAGCTAGAAGAGGAAGATGTAGTCATGTAGATCTAAATATATACAGATTGAAGTTATTAAACGGAAATGCTAGGTCAAGTCCTCAAGGGCCTTGATGGATTTAAGGCTTGCTTAATAGAGCTGAATTGGAGAAAAAGAAAATCATGGAGGCAATTTAAAGTAGAATGGAAATAAGGCTTGATTTGCTTATGTGAAACCTTAAGAATCTGGAAAAGCAAGGTACTTTTGAGCAGCATAAAGTTATTAAATTTGAAATTTTGTATTTGTATTGATGCTTTGTGTCTGCTATAAGCTATCCTTTTATCCATGTTCCAGAGATTGTCAGGAGAGCATTCATGATTTTGTGAGAAGGGGAAAAATATCTAAACTACTACCTCTTCCGGTAAATAGCATCTTTTAATCATATATCAATGATGTTGCCAGCACAGTAATCAAGTGATTGTCTTTGTCTAATTCTGCATTGCAATTCAATGATTTCTTTCAGGGTGATGTTGATGTGATATGTGGGGGCCCTCCATGTCAAGGTATTAGTGGCTATAATCGCCACAGAAATGTCAGTGCCCCACTTGATGATGAAAGAAATCGACAAATCATTGTATTCATGGATGTTGTTGAATTCTTAAGGCCTAAATACGTTTTGATGGAAAATGTTCCTGACATATTGAGGTTTGATAAAGGATCTCTTGGAAGATATGCTTTAAGTCGTTTGGTGCATGTGAGATACCAAGCAAGACTTGGCATTCTTGCAGCTGGTTGTTATGGTCTTCCACAATTTCGGTTACGTGTTTTTGTATTGGGGGCACTTCCTAGTGAGGTTAATTTCTTTCTCACTTTCTTTGAATGAAAACATGAAGGATGTGGTATATTGAGCCTGTGAACCTATGTGTTGACCGATGCCGGTGTTAATTTCTCTGTCAATTTGAGCTTAGGTTAGATTTACTTGGAAAACAGGAACAGTTTCTCTGTCAATTTGAGCTTAGGTTTAGATTTACTTGGAAAATAGGAATATAAAGACAATTGTAACTTTAATGTTTGGTTCAAAATGGCAGGTAATTATAATTGACTTAAATTGGTGTTGTATTCAAGGAATCTTAAATTATTGTTCTTGTCTCCAGAAATTACCACCATTTCCACTTCCTACGCATGATGTTATTGTCAGATATTGGCCTCCACCTGAATTTGAGGTACTCTTTTTGCATTCCTAGCATTAATATTACAATCTAACTTCTATTGCGGATTCATATTCTTGCTGTGACTCCTAATTTCAGTGATTTATATCCCAGTTTAGTGTCTTAAAAATTTTCTTTCTTGTTGCAGCGGAATACTGTTGCTTATGAGGAAGGACAACCTCGTGAACTTGAGGAAGCCCTTGTTCTTCGAGATGCTATATCTGATCTTCCAGCTGTACAACAGTTGCATTTAAATTGAATGTTTTCTGTTATAAATCTTATAATCGGTTCTCACCTATGGCAGTCTTTTAGGTTACCTGTCGTGAAGATCGTGAAGAAATGCCATACTGTATGCCCCCAGAATCAGATTTTCAGAAATATATTAGATTGCCTAAACATGGTATTTTCTGTTCTTTTAAGGGCTTGTGTTTATGTTGTGACTTATGTTGGCATGCTGTCTGTTCTTTTACACAAATTGCTTCACAAATTTGAATTCCCTTAATTTGTGGTGAACTCATAGTATTATGTTTCCATAGAACTTTGGATTTATATATATAGTTTCACACTTTCGTTAGTGGTTTGAAAAAGTTTTTAGTTCTTCTAAGTTAACAAAAAAAATTTCAGGGCATATTATATTTTTTCTTCCCACACCAAGAATACAAATGTTATCCTGACCTTTCCACTTTGTAGAATTCATTCAAATTCAACTCATGGGACAACTGTGAAGAAATGTGATAAATACATATAGACTCTTTATATACCTCTAGGAGACTTTAAGGTTGCGTTTACTTCAATTAATTTCTATTTCTTCATTTTTAATTCTGTGTGTTCATTAGCAGTTGTTTTCTGAATTCTTTATTTTCTTTTCTCCAGTTTTCCATTTTGACATAAAAACAAAAAAATCTCCAGTTAGTAAATGGACCCTCAGTTTTTCTAGGCATCTTTTGACTTATCTGAATAAGCATATAACTACTAAGCTCCGTATCAATATACATTCTTATCTTTCTCTTGTCTTCTACCACTTGTTGCTTTTGCCGATAGGCAGGCGGCTGCCTTCCCTCACTGGGCCATTCAATCTATTACTTTGTATTAGTTAACATGGAATCAAAGTTTTATTGCTTGTGACGAGGTTCCAAGATCAGAACCTGAAGTGTTGCTACTGTGCTTTGTACATTGGTAGTGTACTAGCATGTGAGGATTGTAGAGAATAGACCTATGGTTGAAATTGATACAGTTAGACTTGTCTTCTTGAGCCTGTTCTGTTGAGGTATATGTTGCTGTCCTTTGTTGGTTTGGACTTTGGAGTCTGTTCTGCATATTTACGGTCCTTGAGTTTGCTATAAAGGAATATGTGGTTGCGGCAAGAAGAAAGACACAACTGGATTTTATTTGCTTAATTAGGCCTAGTTTTCTGTACTTTTCTATGGTGTATTGCCTATTGGAGTATACAGTTTTATTTTTTAAATGAAGGATCTGAGACTAAGAGGCTATAAATATGGGAATAGTGGGAATTATAGTTCAATGTTGCAAAGTCTATGGATGTTATGTGAAACCCTTGGTGGAAGGAGATTAGCTCTTGGTAGGGCTTTAAATTCAAGCAGTTATGTGCAAAGACTCTTGAGAATTTTACGGGTGATGAGTAATTCTTGATGAGAGTGGTCCATAAGACTAATGTTGGCCATAAGGTGAAGTTCCCATTTTTTGAGTGAGGGGGAATATGAGATGTTTTCCCTGGATTTTCAACTACATACTTTAAGATGTTATGCAGTGATTTTTGTATAAGTTGGATGGGTTCCAACTTAAGAGGGGAGTGATAAATATTTAGGGACTATATTTCTAGGAGACTTTAGCTTATCTAAGAGTCTTGACTTTTATCTGAGCAAGTTGGCTCCATTTTAATCTTTATATCGCATATCTTGCATCAATATACATTCTCTTCTTCTACTACTAGTTGCTTCCACCGTTTGGGCAGGTGGGGGCCTTCACTACCCACAAAACCTGTTCAATCTGTTACTCCTTATTAGCTAACACCTACTTTTAGTCAAAGTATTTTACTCTCTCTCTTTTTTTTTTTTTTTTTTTTTTTTTTTTTTTTTTTTTTTTTTTTTTTTTTTTGTTGTCTTTGTTATTCCAGAGATGATGGGTGCTACATCTACTGAAGTCAGAGAAATGAAAGATCCTGTCTTATATGATCATCGATCTCGTCTACTTTCTGAAGATGATATCCTGCGAATTTCTCTAATCCCACACAAGAAGGTATGGTGGTTATGATATTTATTTAATGAGCTCTTTTGGTTTGCTATAGTCACTAATATATTACAACCCCAGGGAGCAAATTTCTTGGATTTTCCTGGGGTCATCCTTGAGAATAATACTGCACGTCGTGATCCAAATAAAGATCCAGAGTTACTACCATCAGGAAAGCCACTTGTGAGCACTCTTTGCTTCTTTACCTTTAAAATTTTTTTGCTAATATATATATATATATATATATATATATATATATATATATATATATATATATATATATATATATATATATATATATATATAGGAAAAAGTTCAAATGCGGCGGGGTCTTCCCGTGCGGCAGAATTTCAGAATACACCAACAGTGTTAACAATATGCACCAACAGTGTAAGGAAAACACACCACAATGAAATGCAATAAAACATCAAAAAATACACAACAGACCCAAAAAAATATACCATATTACTCACCACCCCCAATGGTGTATTTCCGAACATTGTATGGTGTTTTTACTCACACCTAATTGTGTGTTTTTGGTGATGCGTACCTAATTTGTCTCTGTTTTTTGTGGTGTATTTTTCTAACGTTGATGGTGTATATTTGTTGAACTATTGGTGATGCCGCACCGTAAGACACCGCCGCACCTGAACTCACCTCTATATATATATATATATATATATATATATATATTGTTTCCAATCTTGTACTACATTTTTGACATTCATCTAAAGGTGCAACAAGGAATCAACGTCAAAACATTATACAAATATGATTCATGTTGCTTTGTTCTTCCCATGGGGGGATTGAATGTAAAGATGACATTCAAAGACTACCAGAATTTAAGCAAATTCGTCATATTCATGTGCATAGAATCTAGCCTGAAACATGTGCTGTTTGCCACTAGCTTCTTGAAATGAATATATAAACCATTCTAACAAAATGCTATCCTTTCCAATTGTAGGTCCCCGATTGTCTTTTCACTTATAAGCAAGGAAAGTCTAAGAGGTACACCTTTGAAAATGTTTTTTTTGTTCTTCTTTCCGTTATTGTTTTATAAAATATGTTGTTGAAGCTCTTCATTTCTCAGGCCATTTGGGAGATTGTGGTGGGATGAGAATGTGGCAACCCTAGTGACTTTCCCCAATTGTCGCAGCCATGTATGCTCTATGAACCCTATGTTGAAATGTTTGTGTGGTAGAGATTAGAGGGGGAATAGCGAGAGAATTGTCGGTATGCCTTTTGGAATTTAAATCTCATAAAATTATGCACAGGTCGTCTTGCATCCTGACCAGGACCGAGTTCTCACTGTACGTGAGTATGCCAGGTTGCAAGGGTTTCCTGACTTCTATAGATTTTGTGGAACCGTCACTGAAAGGTATTCTAAAATCTATAAAACACTCTACATTGTCTATTGCCTGCCTTTGAAGTCCGAGTTTTATTTATTTTTCCATGTTGAAAAAATCGCTAGGCGCCCTCTAGGTGCCTGGGGACCGCCTAGGGCGCTTAGGAGGCTGACCGCCTAGCGCCTAGGCGCGATTTTTGCAACACTGTTATTTTTACATCTTGCTTCAATTATAGCTTTCTAGTCGTGATGGCCATGCTTTAACATTTTGGTATTCCTGTCGGACGGGCTTATGCAGGTACTGCCAACTAGGAAACGCGGTAGCTATTCCCGTTGGACGTGCCCTGGGGTATGCACTTGGAATCGCATTCCAAAGGTTGAGTGGCGATGAACCGCTGATGAAATTGCCACCGAAATTTGCCTTCTTGCAGCCCCCAGTAGACGAAATAGTGGAAGTGAGAAACTGAATGGTTTCTCATGTAATATTAGAAAACATTTGTGATGTAATATGTTGTATCCAGGATATCATATGATAATGTACTTGCCTGTATGAGGTATTTAATTTGTTTGTATTTTCCCATTCTTTGGTGACTCGTCCTGTGCAGGGTGCGTGCAGCTGCCGTGCAAGGGGATGGCATAATGAATTTTTATTGAGATATAATAATTGTATTTTTATAGAATCTCCTAAAGACATCTTTGATGAATGATTTTTTTTTTTTTTCCCCGGTGAGAATGAAATTATTATTATCTCATCTTTTTTATTTTATGTAAAATACTCCGTTTTTAAAAATGGTTCTTATAATATTTTTAACAAACTCTAATTTAGGTCGAAGCTAACACATCACACTTGTAATTGCAGGTATAGAGTTAATGTCATCAAAGGTCCGAGTATCCGAGTATACGTTTAATCCTAAACTTTCAAATTAACTATCCGTGGTCCTCTGACTTTTGAATTTAACCTGTTATGATCCTTTCATTACTTTCAGTCGTTCTAAGGTCCTATGAGTATATGTTTAGTGCTAAACTTTTAAATTGACTATTCGTGTTCCTCTGTCTTTTGAATTTAACCTGTTATGATCTTTTCGTTACTTTCTGTCGTTCTAAGGTCTTCCAAGTATATGTTTAGTGCTAAACTTTCAAATTGACCATCCGTGGTCTTCTGACTTTTGAATTTAACCTGTTATAATCCTTTCATTACTTCAGTCGTTTAGACCGTGAAAAATAAGGATAAAAGCGTCTTTTAACATTGCTTATCTGTTTAGGCCCTATGTCTGATCGATTTGCCAATCTAAACGTGATCTCTTGCTCATCTTTGGCTTCAGACATTTGTATAATAACTACTATGAGCACGAGGATCTTCACTTCAGTTTTCGACCAACTAATCCTAATTTTGCAAATAATATAATGGGTTATTGAACCACAAAAGAAAAGTCTTGAATCTGCAAAATAATTTACAGATTAATTATCTCTCTCTCACACGCACAGTAGAGAAGAAATCCAACTCTGCAAGATAAACTTGAAATCATTTAGGAAAGGAAATCTTAAATTGAAACTTGAAATCATTTAGGAAAGGAAATCTTAAATTGAAACGTTAATTAACAATCAAATCTAGAAAATATTAATAGTGTAACATTTTCCTATTATTATTATTGTTGTTATTATTATTATTATTATTATTATTATTATTATTATTATTATTATTATTATTATTATTATTATTATTATTATTGCTATTGTTATTGTTATTGTTATTGTTATTGTTATTATTATTATTATTATTATTATTATTATTATTATTATTATAATATTAAGTATTTGATATGTGGTGCAATACTAATAACCTAAAAGTTAGACTACCATTATGATTAGGAATCTGGTTAGGGTTTAGGTCTTTTAGACTACCATTATGATTAGGAATCTGGTTAGGGTTTAGGAGACCTGAAGACATACAACCACAATATGTGTAGTGATTATATAAGGTCACTAGTCTCCCCACTGCTCACATTACATACCTTATACACCATATAGAGAGTTGAGTAGAAGTGAGAGACAAAATACTCGTGTAACTCTGTAGCAGTCCGGATCATTCAATCTCCATCAACACAGGAACTATGTAGCAGTCCGGATCATTCAATCGCCATCAACACAGGAACTAACTATGCCTGGACATTCCATCAACACAAGAACTAACTATGGCCGGAGGTTAGTGCGATTCTATTATCACATATTATAAATTGCATGTGATATATTTAATTCTAATAGTTGATATCAGTGCCCGTATATAATCTCTGCATGGTTCATTCGATTGCATATATATAATATTTGAATAGTTGTATACATTGTATAATTGAGATAACAATGTGAATATTCTTTGTATGCAATTGTATTCTGGACTGCTGGATTTTTATTATTATTTTTTTAAATGTTGCAAGCTCAATATTTATTCCAATGAAGTTTTATGTCTAGTCCAAACTTATATTTAAATGTTTAATAGAATTCCTAGGTAAAGTACTACGTAAATTACGTCAAAATTCAATGCCACTCCTGGTTTGGAGGGTTAACTAAATTCTACATGCCCAAATAATGAAGTGAGGCGTGTAATGCGGCGCCGGCGTCATCTGATGCTACATTACCGACCAACAAAAAACTTTGGATATTTGTTGCTCTACTACTGCTTCGTCGTTTTTTTGACTCCGGTCTTCATCGATAGCCGGCGGCTCTTGGAAAACGCCGGCAATTTATATTAAAAAAAAAAATAAAAATTTTGGGACTGTTTTGGTGTTGGGCTTCCTCAATTTAATATCTTCATCATATTTCACAAGTAACATGGACACAGTTCTATGTTAATAATTACTGAACTATAAATTTATAATTATAAAGCTATATATTCATAATTTCTGAACTTCATATTCACAATTATTGAATCGTAATATTTATAATTACAGAACTCTTTATTCATAATTATGTACAATTATGTTCACAACTCTATGTTCATAATTATAGAACTATATGTTCATAATTTTTGAACTATATATTCATAATTATGAATAGTTTTGGAATTGTGTCCACCATGTAAGGTAGACACGGTTCCACGACATAATTTGTGCCCATATTTGGCCTTATTCTAATCAAATTATCCAATTAAATTTTATTAATTCTATTATTAAATTATTATTCAAGTTTAAATCATTATTCAGTTTCAATTTTTTAGTTGAATTTTAATTTAATAATATTTTTCAGATTAGATTAAATTGAAATATGCATTAATCTATTAAGTATTACAATTTAATTGTAGAGTATTAGTTAGTAATATGCATAATCTATTTCTATTGCAATAATTATTTGACTGTTATAATTATGCAAGTAGAAAAATATTCTTTTAGGAATAAATTTAGAGCCTTTTAGGTCTGAATTGATTGCTTATAATGCATGATTTAGTGCTTTTTAGGTGAATTTAGTGCTTTTAAGGTTAGATTATGCATAGTCTTACTATTCTGTTATTACTCCACTCGTGCTCTGAAAACACATAAAGTACCATGAATATTCATAGTTTACCCTATTCAAAGCTTTATCCATAGGTTTACCATATTATAGATCTCTCACACAATTTTATTTCAAATAAGAGAACACAAAAATTAGGGAAGTTTCTTGTTGCTACTAGTCCCCTTGCGTCCCCTTCGAAGCTACTCAAGGAGTTGGTTAAAGCTACTCTGTCTAAGGAGTTGGCTTTTAACCGAGTTTCGTATCGACCAACTTTCCTCCTTGCCTATGTGATTATGTTTTGGTCAATTAAAGAGTAGCCACAACATCTTTGATTTATCAAAATATTTCATACTAAAGTTTTACACACATGAAGTTAAGGCAAGAATATTGTAGTTAACTCTGCGTGATATGACAAAATTTAGCAAACAAGCAATTTTGTTATATTTGTAGGGTTAATTAGGATGAAATGCCAGACTATGATGATCATAATTTTCCCTCAGGAATTATGTATCGGCATATAGTTTTGGTAGTTTTGTCATTAAGGGTGAAAAAATCTAAATCGTACCCATTCTGTTTTTCACCATTCAGTTTTGATAGATTCATTATGCGTAAAAATTTAGCCTGCAGGCAATTTTTATGGCATACGAATTTATCTTTTGCATAATTTTACATTAGTAATATGATGTACTTCAGTATCTCTCTCTATTTTGTGCCTCGAAAAACACTAACCAAGCCTTCATTATTATTCTTTATAGCAACTCTTCCTATCACTCAATCAATAACTATTGATGTTCCTATCCTTAGCGACGATAACCATAAAGAGTGGAAAGATGCAATTCTCCTGAATTTGGGAATATTAGGGTTGAATTATGCTATCCGCAATGATACTGCGGAAAACACTAAGGCAGATGTAGCGCTATACAAGCGATGGGAGACATCCCATCGCTTAGGCGTGTTCCTCATTAAGTAAAAAATCTCCAAAGTGATTCGTGGTTCCGTTGATAGAATTGAGGAAATTAAACCTTTGCTTGAGGCCATTGATGACGAATTTGTTGACTCGAAGAAATCTTTGGCAAGTACCCTAATAATGCAGTTTATAAATCTGTGTCTTTCCATAGGGCACGCGAAAACACATTATGCAAGTCAAGGACATTGCGGCTCAGTTAAAGAAGTTGGAAATTATTCTTCCAAATGCTTTTGTGGTGCATTTTGCACAAAATACCCTTCCTCAGGAATATAGCACATTTAAAGTTTCCTATAATACACATAATCAGGAAAGATCTATCAATGAATTATATTGATTACCAAGTGTATTCAAGAGGAAACAAGGCTTATGACTGAGCTTGGGGAGAGTGCTATAATGGCCACAACAAGTCCTAAGAGAAAATCTAGAAAGTCTAAGAGATCCACCACCATGGCTGCCAAGAGGAAATTAACCCTTAAAGCAGACATTAAGAAGGTACATAAGTGTTTCTTTTGTAAAAAGAAGGGACACATGAAGAATGGATTGTACCAAGTTTAAGAAATGAATGTTCCAAAAAGGTAATATTCATCTTCTTTTGTTTGCTTTGAATCTAATATGTCAGAAGTTAATACTAGTTCTTGGTGGTTGACTCTGGTTCAACAATCCACATTGCAAACTCTTTGCAAGATATGACAAAGCTGATACAACCGAGGGGAACTGAGTGTAGCATCTTCTCTGGAAACAAGATTGCATCACGAGTAGAAGCTCTCAGAGTTTGCACTTTAGTTTTGAACAATGGTTTTGTATTGATGTTAGAAAAAACATTTTATCTTCCTACATTTTCAAGGAACTTAGTTTCAGTGTCTAGACTTGTACTATTTTGATATTTATTTGAATTTAATATCAATTATTTCAAGTTATTTCGTAACATTGTCGATGGTCTCTTTCGTCTTAACTTAAAGAATGATTCAGTTTATAATTCTCTACATGTTCAAAACCGCACCAAACGGTGCAATATTAACGACATATCCTCAATGTTGTGGCATTGGAAATTAGGTTATATCTCCCTTGAGCGTATTAAAAGCTTGGTAAAGGATGGAGTACTTTCTACTCTAAACTATACTGACTTTAAGACTTGCATTGTCTGCATTAAGGGTAAGTAGACAAACAAGTTAAGAAATGTGCCAATAGAAGTTTAACGTTGAATTGTTTGAATGTTTGTCTATTGGCACCTTTCTTTGACTTGTTTGTCTGCTTACCTTTAATGCAGTCAATGCAAGTCTCAAATTCAGTATAGTCTAGAGTAGAAAGTACTCCATCTTTTACCAACCTTTTATTACGCTCAAGGGAGATATGACCTAATCTCCGGTGTCACAACATTGACGTCGTTAATACTACACCGTTTGGTGCCGTTTTGAACATGTAAAGAATTATAAATAGAATCATTCTTTAAGCTAAGACGAAAAAGACCATCAGACAATGTACCAGTACCAACACAAGTAGAATTACGAAATAACTTGAAATAATTGGTATTAAATTCAAATGAATATTCAAATGGTACAGGTTTAGAAACTGAAACTAAGTTCCTTGAAAAGGTAGGAACATAAAATGTCTTTTCTAACGTCAATACAAAACCATTGTTCAAAACTAAAGTGCAAACTCTGAGAGCTTCTACTCGTGATGCAATCTTGTTTCCAGAGAAGATGCTACACTTAGTTCCCCTCGGCTGTCTCAACTTTGTTATATCTTGCAAAGAGTTTGCAATATGGATTGTTAAACCAGAGTCAACCCACCAAGAATTAGTATTAACTTCTGACATATTAGATTCAAAGCAAACAAAAGAAGATGAAATATTACCTTTTTGCGACATTCATTTCTTAAACTTGGTACAATTCATTCTTCATGTGTCCCTTCTTTTTACAAAAGAAACACTTCTGTACCTTCTTAATGTCTGCTTTAAGGGTTAATTTCCTCTTGGCAGCCATGGTGGTGGATCTCTTAGACTTTCTAGATTTTCTCTTAGGTCTTGTTGTGGCCACTAAAGCACTCTCCCCAAGCTCAGTCATAAGCCTTGTTTCCTCTTGAGTACACTTGGTAATCAATTCATTGATAGATCATTCTTGATTATGTGTATTATAGGAAACTTTAAATGTGTTATATTCAGGAAGGAAATTTAGTGCAAAATGCACCACAAAAGCATCTAGAATAATAATTTCCAGCTTCTTTAACTGAGCCGCAATATCCTTGACTTGCATAATGTGTTTTCGCGTGCCCTATGGAAAGACGCAGATTTATAAACTGCATTATTAGGGTACTTGCCAAAGATTTCTTCGGGTTAACGAATTGGTCTTCAATGGCCTCGAGCAAAGGTTTAATTTCCTTAATTCTATCAACGAAACCACGAATCACTTTGGAGATTTTTGACTTAATGAGGAACACGCCTAAGCGATTGGATGTTTTCCATCGCTCGTATAACGCTACATCTGCCTCAGTGCTTTCCGCAGTATCATTGCGGATAGCATAATCCAACTCTAATATTCCCAAATTCAGGAGAATTGCATCTTTCCACTCTTTATGGTTATCGTCGCTAAGGATAGGAACATCAATAGTTATTGATTGAGTGACAGGAAGAGTAGCTATAAAGAATAATAATGAAGGCTTGGTTAGTGTTTTTCGAGGAACAAAATAGAGAGATACTGAAGTACATCATATTAGTAATGTAAAATTATGCAAAAGATAAATTTGAATGCCGTAAAAATTGCCTGTAGGCTAAATTTTTACGCATAATGAATCTATCAAAACTGAATGGGTACGATTTGGGTTTTTTCAACCTTAATGACAAAAGTACAAAACTACAAAAACTATATGCCGATACATAATCCCTGTGGGCAAATTATGATCATCATTGTTTGGCATTTCATCATAATTAACCCTACAAATATAACAAAATTGCTTGTGGGCTAAATTTTGCCATATCACGTAGAGTTAACTACAATATTCTTGCCTTAACTTTATGTGAGTAAAACTTTAGTATGTAATTTTTTGATAAATCAAAGATGTTGTGGCTACTCTTTAATTGACTAAAACATAATCACATAGGCAAGGGTACTCAAAGCCTAACAAACAAATTAAACCAAAACATGATAGACAATCCTTAGTTATACTAACAACGAAACTCAGTTAAAAACCAACTCCGTAGACAGAGTAGCGTCGCAAGGGAACTAGTAGCAACAAGGCTTTAAACCAAGGCTATGGAACTAGTATTCCTCCCCAAGAAACTTCGTTAATTCATGCGTTCTCATATTTGAAGAATTGTTTGAGAGATCTATAAGATGGTAGACCTATGGATAAGGCTTTGAATAGGGTACACTATGAATATTTCTGTACTTTATGTGCTTTAAGATCTTTAAAAGAGCACGAGTGGAGTGATAACTGAAAAGTAAGAATATGCATAATTTAATAGAACATGCTTTTCTACAGGCATATAATTATAACAGTCAAATAATTATTGCAATAGAAAAAATATATAGCATGCTCAGATTATGCATATTACTAACTAATACTCCACAATTGAATTGCAATACTTAAGACAATTTAATTTGAAAAGCATTATTAAATTAAAATTCAACTGAAAAATTGAAACTGAATAATTATTCAAAGTTGAATAATAATTTAATAATAGACTTAATAAAATTCAATTGGATAATTTGATTAGAAGAAATTTAAATATGATGAAGATATTAAATTGAAGGAGTCCAAAACCGAAACACGCCCAATTTTTATTTTTTTTTTGTTCTTTTTTTTTAATAAGGAAGCCCTGGTCTGGCCGAATTGGGCCAAACCCGGGCTAACATATTAAATCATCAATCATTATTGCATGGACCATGGTCCACACAACCACACAATTGTGTGGACCATAAATAAAAGTACATTTTTAATATACCAAGGGTACATTATTTATGTACGTAAGGTACATTTTTTTAAAGTATACTTTTAATATACTAATGGTACATTATTTTATATAATGTACATTCAGTACAAAAATAATGTACCTTCAGTTCAAAAATAATGTACTTTTAATATATTAAAAATGTACTTGATATCATGGTCCACACAATTGTATGGATCATGATCCACACAATAATTTGCCCACCATCATCATTCATCTTCTTCCTTGCAACTAAACCTAGCAGCAATAGTGGTTAGCAACCTAGGTCGTTAGTGTCATCTGAAAAGAGGGAAGACAAAGCATTGTCGTTCCCGGGTAAACCATGAAATCTTTCAGAATCAAATGAAGTTTCTCTTCAACTATTGTTTCACTCAAGTAATGTTCCAACTCAATATTTGTTTTTCTCCATCCCCCCACTTTCCATTCTTTGTTTCTTTATTTAAGACTTTAATAAATGTTGTGGCTTCCAAACTGAGGCAAATTCAAACTGAATAAAATCAATAGAAGGACTACTATCACTCATTTCATTGTTTCCTCATTTCGTTGTCTTCTCACTCATATCTCCTCACTGCATTGCCTACTATACCCCACTCATCGCCACTCTTAAGATCAATTGCTTTGATTTTTTATTGTTGTATGTTTAAAATCTTTATTCTGATTATAAGATCATAAATAACCAAATATCAATATTAGTAATCATTCCAATTCTACTCTACTACCAAACATATAAAATACTTTTACTGAAATCAATTCAAATTACCAAGTTTTTGATTCTCATTCTGATTCTGATTTTTTTTTTGTTTTGTTTTTTTAAAATAATTCTTATTCTTTTATGTTTATCCATTTCTAGTAAACTTTACTTTCTCTCTCTAACTTTAATTTGCTTTCTCCCATTTTCATCTGCTCCCACCCCTACAACTTGGTGCTTCCGGTCGACGCTCTGATGGAGCGTTGAGCCGGCGGTGCCATGAGTAGACTCCATCCTCCTACTGTTTTAAGAATAAGTGTTAGATCTCAGATCATCTCCGATCGTTTTCAGAGAAGACTTCAGAGACTCTCCAGATTTGACAGGTTTTCTACCATCTTTTCCTTTTATTTTGCTTTCTTTTGGTTCTTTGTTATCCCTTTGTTCTTTTGACTAGTTTGTTTCCTCTCGTATCTTTGGCGAGTGTTTCCCTCTTGTTTCTTTGGCGAGCTCTCCTCATAAGCGTAGAATGATAAAATAATCACACCAGAGTTAGGCTTGGCTATGTTTGACCAGATCTGTGAAAAAAGCGCCGAGTTCATCCAACAACTTCGGCTTCAAATTTGTAAAACAGTCTGCGATCTAAGTTTTCTGTAGCATTGCTAGGAAATTTATTTCTACGTTTGGCTGTAAAGATTGTGTTACCGTTCTAACGATTTGTATTGTAATGGCAGCTTATGAGTAATGAATTAGCCTTTTATGTTTTATTTTTATTTTTTAAAAAAAACACCAACCCTTAATATTTAATTTAGAGTTCATTAAACTACATAAGCAAATTGACAGGAAAAAATATTTTACTAGTGGAAATAAAAAGTTGGACAAATTATCAAAATAATAATAATAAAGTAACACATATAATTGGAAACGAAACAAAGTGTTACATCAGCGGGCCACTAATAATTTTGCAATGTGGCACACGCCATGGGCACACGCCATGGACCAAATCCTAATGTAATCAGGCACTATATTATTGGGCAAATTATACCACAAGTCATGGTCTCCTTTGTATTGTAAATCTTGGTCCAAAAATAATATTTAAATTCTATATTTATAGTTAACACATTTTGTACATGCAGTTAATAGTTCCTATCTCTGTAAGTATTATATGTCAACAATTTTCAAGTTATTTGCTTACATATACAAAAACTATTAACTGTAGATGCACAAGATGTTAACTAAAGATACATAATTTTTGTATCAAAATTTACAACACAATATAAATCATAATATATAGTATAATAATTGATATTATTGTGCTGCCTCAAAGCCATCCACTTATTTTACTAATTTCACATGCCTATTTCTTGCTTCTATCTACAACGTAGCTTTTGACTTTCACCCATGATTACATGCCTTGCATTATGCCACCTTTTTTTGTTTTTTGTTCCTAGTATTAAATGTCTTTGGACATGTTTCCGGAGCATGTTGTATGTTCAGTCCACTTGGACATGGCTTCCTCTGTCAAAATCAACCATCACTTTGTTCAATTTCTTGTTGCTTATCCTTTGTTCAATTATCCTTGTCTCATCCTCGCACCTGTCAATTACCCACAAAAATAAATCAATCAATCACTATAAACCATCCTTTAATTTTATCATCTTCAACTTCATCACTACCTTTATTTTTTAATAAAGAATTTCTATCACTACTTCTTCAATCAAGTATTATTATTACTATATTATAACCAGACATATCATGCATGTTGTATACCGTTTAAAAAACATTTATACCGTCAAAAATCATTTTAATACGGAGTATATATTTATTTCACTATACATGTATCAAAAACACTATTGCATAAAATAAATTAATACATTCAAATTCAAGCTGAATATTAAATAACAATTTTATAAGATTATCCTCACCAATGTATTTTAAAAGGTTTTTTTTTTTTTTTTTTTCATTTTTTTTAGCTTATATGAAAAAGAGATAAAGAAAATTTATTCATGCAAATGTTAGTTTTTTGTGGGTCTCGCTACCCGAGAAAAAGTAAGATTTTGTTGTTTTAGGTGTGCCTTTGGCACACTTGCTGTGCCTAGTAGACGTGTGAAGTGCACACACCTGTTGGACGCATAAAAATAAAATTTTTTATTTGCTTTTTTTCTTCTACCCTTTTTTCTATACCCTCTTTGGTTCTTTCCTACATGACACCTTTTAAAAAATGTTTAAAAAAAAAAAACAAACTTCAATGGATGAGTATATATACTCTAAGAGCATCAATAATAGTGAAGTTTTTTTGTTGAATTCCCAACCCCAAGGGCCCCACACCCCGACCCGACAGAGTATTTGGAAGGATGTAATAGTGAAGTTTTTTTGTAAATTTTGAGTAATTTTTGTAAATGTGATTAGAAAAGAGAGTATCAGAGGGGAGAAAAAAAAGAGAAAAAACAACTAATTTTTTAAAAAATAATAATAAAAGAACAGACAGTCAAGCCCGTGCGCTGCGCCCGTGTGGGCATTTGCTGTACACCAAACGCGCACAGTCTCAACCTTTTCCTCACATTACTGTTCCAAAAACTCATTCTTGGTGATGAATCAAATCATTCTCTCTCTAATTTGTCAACCATCACTTTTTCAATATCTCCTAAATATGCACGGATAAGGGTGCTTTAAACAAACAACAAAAATTTGAAGTTACCTTGGAAGATGTGAAGACGAAGGATTCAAGGTTTGGGCAAGTTTAGCAGCTTCCGCGGTGTGATTTATGGTGTGATTAAAGCACAAATATCGACCGTATGTTGAGACATCCTCGTACACGCTAACGTGGGCATCCACCAAGAAATCAAGATCGACGGTCACAAACACTCCATCTTCGTACATCTCCGCTGCTCCTTTCAGATAAGGGTTTGTGATCGTTAGATCAGGAGACAGCACAAGTCCCGCGTTGACCGAAACCATGTTCACCCCTCTGTCCATTGCCAACGCCCACGCGCTTTTCTCCGCAACCGTTTTCGACAGCGCGTGCCATAACTACGCATAATACAATTTTCAAACCAAACAATAATTAATCACTAATGCCAATCTACAACATCAATTATTTCAACCATTCAATTCAATAATAATAATAATAAAACAAAAGCCCCCAAATTTGTAGCCTAATTATGGAATTAATCGTGATGGTATTTAATTACTGGAAGTCAACATAATCAATATTTAATTATTACATGAACATTGGACCAATGAACCCACTCATAACAAATTAATATAAAATGTTTTTTAATATCAAATCAAAGGAGTAAAAGGAAGATGTGGAAACGTGTGTTTGATAAGATTTTTCAAATTTAAATAATATTTTATGTTAGACAAAATAAACAAAACAAAAAATAATAATATTTTATATATTGAAAACACTTCAATTTAAAGAAAAAAAAAAAAACTTTTTGTCCTTGAGTTATTGGGTAATGGTAAGATTTGTTTTTACTTGTTGATCGTGCTCACTTCTTTTTCCTAAAATATAACTAATGTTGTAAATTTCATCACTTTTTCTAACAAAACATTAGAAATGAAATCCGCAATGTCAGTTATAACTTAAGGACGAGAAGTAAACACGGCTTGTTAGAAAAATGAAGACATTTACACATTAGTTATAATTTAGAGAAGAAAAATAAGTATGAACGAATCTAACAATTATATAACTTAAAGACGAAAAGTGTAATTATTTTTTAAAAATTCTAAAATTCCATTTTACCATTTTAAACAGAGATTCGTTTCTAGACAAACTACACCATATATAATCCCCTCCCTTATCCTACCAACTATCCTTATGCACAAATTTTTATGAGAACATTTCATACAAATTTTTATAATAATATAATTATTTGATACTTTAAGATTTAACTAAGATATTCTTGATAGTATAATATATATATAAAATAATGAACATTAGTGTCTATATATATATATAAAAATATATACCTTGAAATTGCGACAAAAATTGATGTCACTCCAATGCCTTTCATCAAGATCTGAAGATCTTTTATCAGCATGAGTAGAGTTCCATATAATTGCAGTGGCTGATGAAGTGAACACAACCTTGTCTATGCTGTCGGTTTGAGCACATGCCTCCACTACATTATGTGCTGCTCTTACCTCCACTTCTCCCATGTATTCCTGTTTTCATTTTTCTTAATATCAATCACTAAGAACATTTTCAACTGTCATGAATTTTTGTTAGGTTTTTATCACATATGAGGAAGGAGAGGGGGGAAAAAAGGAGGAAAAAAAATATTTGACCAAAAAGTAAATAAATAAATAACTTTTATGTACCCAGCGGGCGCAGCTCGTGCGCGAAACGTGCACCAACATAATATTTTATTATTATTATTATTTAAGTGAGGTCCATGAAAAAATCATGCAAAACAAAAATCTTCTCTCATCTCTTATCTTTCGTTCCGCTGACCTTATCTCTTTTACACATAAGCAATTTTTTTTTTTTTTTAAATTAACTTTTACACTCCCAGCGAGTGTAGCGGACGCGCGAAAAATGCACCAGTTCAATTTTTTTTTTAATTATTTAAGTGAGACCTAAAAAAAATCATATTTAATGTAAAAAAAAAGTCTTCTCTCTCATCTCTTCTCTTTCAATTCCTTTTAACTCACCCCCCCCCCCCCCCCCTCTCTTACATCTGGGTAAAATAATAATAATAATAATAAAAATTACTGATGAGGAGACCTTAAGAATGGAATTGACAACTGTACACTTTCATGCCAATTTCTATGGCGCATATTCTTCAACATATATGCTTCTAGAAATCGTTGCTGAAAAGTTATAACCATTCATAAAAAACAAAATTTCAAAATCACTTAAACTCATACATCAAGGTTTTGACTATAAAATTTTTGTCATTTGTGAAGACTAGTAATCTAGTATTATAAGCTTCTTGTAAATAAAAGATAATACTCCGGCCAAAATATTATGGTCTAATGGCACCAAGATTGCACTCTCATACGAGAGGTTGTGAGTTTGAATTTCATTGGAGACGATATTGACTATGTGGTCTTTAGTAGGTTGAGAAAGTAGTTATGAATAGATACTATAATTAAGTTAATGATTAATAGATTATAGACTTGTATACTACTATAAAATCTGATTGATTAGAAGATTTTTAGCCAGGTCAGCAATTACGTCATCTATACACACAGTGTTTTGAATTGAAAAATCAAACAAGTGACTTTAATTTACAAGAATACATACACCAAACTATCCTGTGTATGTATTATATTGATGATGACTTATTACTTATGTTGCATTCTAGAAAATGTGACTTTAATTTACAAGAATACATACACCAAACTATCCTGTGTATGTATTATATTGATGGATGACTTATTTTACTTATGTTGCATTCTAGAAAATTAGTATGGTAGCAGATTAACATGAGTGCCGCAGTTAAAAGGTAATTAGCTGAAAGTTAAATTTACAGAATTAAAGTCTAAGTTGATAGTTGGATTATACATTTATATTCATATATTCTATGCGCAACATGACATTACGCGAGGTTGGTTTTGAGTTTGATACCAAAAAAGTTAAACTGATAGTTAAATTGCATATTTATGTTTATATATTATATATATAAACTCAACAGGGCAATAAATAGTGGTGCAAGAAGATAAGGAAAGAAAGAATAGTGATCATACATCATAGGTAGAGTGATCCAAGGGAGGCTCAAAGGAGTAGAACAAACCACAGCATCCTTTCAAAGCATCAACTATGCTATGGTAATCAAATAGGTCCAACTCAAATACCTTCACTTTCTCATTGTTCTCCCATTCCAATACCACATTCAATGGTGCTAACGCCTCTTCACCACCCACTGCATAATCCCAAACACCAATCAACTAAATTCAAGATTTATATAATTTTAAGGGGTAAAAAAATTTCACACTATCAATTTAGATCGAGTATTGTATGTCTGATTGCATCAAGTATTATAGGACATATGTTCCCACAATACCCGGTGATATGCATAACACCTTTATTAGTCTGATTGCATCAAGTATTGTAGGACATCTGTTCCCACAATACCCAGTGATATGCATAGCACCTTTATCAGTCTGATTGCATCGAGTATTGTAAGACATCATTTGATTCAACTATACTCGGTGATAGGCAGGCCACTTATAGTATGTCTGATTGCATCGAGTATTATAGGACACTATTTGATCCCACAATACTCAGCTCAATGATATGCAGACCACCTATAATTTGTCTGATTGCATCGAGTATTGTAGGACATCTAATCCCACAATACCCGGTGATATGCAGAGCACCTATAGTAGGTTTGACAGCCCATAGTATATTCAATATAATGCAAAAGAATATGTAGAATTATAAATTTCCCATAATTGGAAATTAGTTAATTAAAGAAGAATTAAATGTGTATATATATAGTATGTGGTAATTACCAGCAAAAGCATGGGGGGTTTGAATTGCAGCGTGGACGGTGTAGCCTCTATGGAGGAGTCGGCGGACCAAGAGTGAACCCAAGTAGGAGGAGGCATCCATCACACAAACTGTGTTTAACTCACAATTAAAAGAAGGTGGCGGCGCCATAATATATAACTAAAACTACTCAATAATTAGCTAGCTAGCTAGGTAATGGAGAGTAGTGAATATTTGGAGAAGAAAGCTAAGATTAGTGTTCCTATCTGGATGGGTGGGAGAGGGTTTGATAGAGGAGGTGGGTATATAAAGCAAACAGCCAAACATGATGAAGCTACCTTCCAAATATACCTGTCATGTGTAGGGCCCTTATAATAAATATACACACAAATATATACGTGATCTAAAAGGGTTATTAATTTCACTTTTAATCAATAAAATATATACTAGTAATATTCGGCAAATTATTGCGTGGACCGTGGTCCACACAGCGGTCTAAAACAACGTTGTTAAATTTTATGTGTTAGAATAATGTACATTATGAGTTAGAATAATGTACTTTATTATATGTTAGAATAATGTACATTATGTGTTAGAATAATGAAACTTCTGAAGTAAGATATTGTACTTTATGAGTTTGAATAATGTACATTATGCTTTAGAATAATGTACATTATGAGTTATAAAAATGTATGTTGCAGTGGATCAGCTAAAAAAAAATAAACTTATGCGAAATGACGTCGTTTTTAAACTGTGATCAACATAGCTATGTAGACCACGGTTCATGCAATTACTATTGGTAACATTCTTGATCAAGCTCGCTCGTTGCACAGAATTTTCTTAAGGCATGCGAATTTCTCCCATTACAAAAATAAAAAAGATAATAATAATAAGTTTAGTTTTCATCTCTAATGATACGAATATTTTCATCTCTAATGATACATTATGTTGATAATTTGAGGATTTCAAGTGACCAATTTTGTTATTGATGGTTTTATCGGGACCGGGTCCACCATAAATCAGGTATAAAAATATAGAACATGGTAGGAAAATAATAATCTTATTGTTGGGGCGTGAGGCCCAATAAAACATATACAAAGCCCACGAGACCGGCCTAAAAATGGAAGCCCGGGATAAGAAAATAATAATCTTATTGTTGGGCTCGAGTTTGAGGCCCAATAAAACATATGCAAAAGCCCATGAGACCGGCCCAAAAATGACGGCCCGAAACAATAATTAAACAAATTAAGGGACTAGTAAATAAATAAACAACTATGTTATCCATAGAGATCGAACCCTGACCAATTAGAGAGGTCCAGACCACTTGACCAAAGGAGGCTTTGTGTCTTCTAAGGTGTGTCCTAACCAGACCATGAGACCAACCCATCTTCTTTTATACTATCACCCAACCTCCACATACCGTCCACGTGTACGACATCGATACGCTCCAATTCACCATCAACCACGCGTCCCATGTCTCTTCCCACACCTCCAGCCACGATCAAGCACCCACGACCAAGGCGCCACCCCACGCCAAACCCTGCGAGACCTTGAATGACCTCATCAGCCACGCCACGCCATATCTTGCTGCCACCTCCCACGCCATACCCTCCATGGCTCCATACAACTACACACCATCTCACCATGCATACAGCTACCTCGCTGCACACATCGTCCCGCTGTGCAGCCCGTGACCACGCACGCCACACGCACTGCCCCGCCATGCAGCCCGTACGACTAAAGGGGCTGTTTAAATGACGTTAAATTCAAAGACATTTTGGTCTATTCAGTAAGTGTTAAGTCTTTTTTTTTTTGGGACCTAGATTTATGTGTCATTTCATTTTTTAGTCTTTTTTTTTTTTTCAAAACATCCTTGTCGATCCTAACACTAATGTGACATGACCATTTTTGGTCATCCTTCAACAATTATGTTTAAATGATATTAAAAATGACGTCATGAACCGCTCAAAATCATCTTTTTTTCTTCTTGGTAATAGAACCACAAGTCTTGTGAATTTTTATGAAGTAGACTTATATGCACTAGGCTTAAGGTTTGCCATGAAGTATACTTGTGGTTTTTTCAATTGCACTTTTTTTTTTTTTTTTTTTTTTTTTTTTTTTTTTTTTTTGTATTTTGCAGTAAACTTATGTCTTGATAACAATTTTATTACCATGAAGAAAAAATGAGGATTTTTGAGTGGTTAATAACGTCATTTTTAATATCATTTAAACATATTTGTTAACGGGTGACCAAAAACGGTCATATCACAATAATGCTTGGACCAACGGGATTTTTTTAAAAAAAGGCCAGGACTAAAAGTCGAATTACACATATAGACCAAAATGTTCTTGTATTTAACATCATTTTAACGATTTTGTTGATAAAAGATAAAAATGGTCATACCATAAGAATAATAGGAGGTAGACGTCACCTATAGATCTAGGACAAAAAGTGAAATTAACTTTTTTTTTTTTTAATTGGTATATTATTGTGTTGGGAACATATTTTCGTAAAGATTGGGAACAATTTTGAGACAGCTAGGTAGGAATGTGACTAGTATTAATAAATTATCTTTTAAAATATATATGCTTTTGTATTATTGTAGTTTTTTTTTTTGAAAGTTGTATTATTGTAGTTAATTTATGACAAATTCTGTTAGGTTAGTTATTGCCTTATTGATGGAAAAATTCAAATATTTATATTTTGTGATAATTATAATAATTATATTCAAATCTTAAAAACTTGATGATTTAATACCAAATTTTATATTTTGTGACAAGTATATATATATATATATATATATATATATATATATATATATATATATATATATATATATAATTTTAGTATCTAACCCTCCGTTATCATCCTACGGCTCAAATTGATAGGAGAACAAAATTGAGTAAGATTTTTCAAAATTGAGAACTTAATTTAATAAGGATGATAATCAAGAACCAAATCAGTAATTTCGCTATAGTCAAGGACCAAATCGATCATTAACTCAAAAACTTCAAATTAACTCTGAAACTCTTAACTAATGTAATTAATAACTTGTAAAGTACTTGCTATTCTTAGGTTGGCATTGTTCTCAAATACATGGATAGATGCTACATGGACTATTCTAATTAAAATAAAATTTATTTAAATATATAATTAAAGAAAATTTCAAGTTATGTTTACGTTTCTTCTATGATATCTGATGGGGACCATGGGACATCGTGGTCCATTTTATTGGATAAGTCTTGACTCAAGGGAGTGGTGAAGGAATGAGGTTAACTCAAGTCTTATTGGGCTATGAAGACAAACATGCATAGTAGTCCAAAAAACACAAAGAATCGGGGGAGAGTGAAGTAGGGCAAATTATTGTGTGGGCCATGAATACAAAATACATTTTTAATATACTAAAAGTACATTATTTGTAAAATAATGTGCTTTCAGTATTCAAATAATGTTCTTTCAAATAATGTATTTTATGTACACAAATAATGCTCTTTTAGTATACTAAAAATGTACTTTTTATTTTTTGTCCACACAGTTATATAGACCATAGTCCATGTAATAATGTTTCGTGAAGTAAGCACCGGAGTGGGACCGCCGACAGCCGGCTACTGCTTAGCCAGCGAGGGACCTCGCCAGACTCTCGGTGCCGGGGGCGCACCACCACCATGGCTGCTTAAACCCACAACCTTTGACATGACATGCAACTTCCCAACCCACTAAGCCATTTTATCTCTTGCGTACAAAGTCACGACAGCTTTTCCTTATCCCTAATTTTATGGGTTGGTAGAATTGTAAACTAATCTCACCACTAGCCACCTCTGGCCATAGTGCGATCGACGGGGCTGGTGCACCCTTGAGCGTAGCAACGGCGCCCCCACTTGAGGAGGGCATAGTGTTGAAGGTATGTATGTAAATGGCTAGGGGTGGAAGCATGCTGGTGCAGGCATGTGGATGGTACGAGCATGTAGATGCATGGCATGGACACGTGGGTGGTAAGCATGGATAGTAAATATGGTCCGGACACTTGTCAAGGCATGAGTGGTTCTACTATAGTATAAAAAGGGGGTGCCCTGTCTTCTTTAGGACATCATGGTCTAAACACTACAAGTCTTCTAGTCTAGTGGTTTCTTCGATCTCCGTTGTTTCAAGTCACTCACTAGGGGTGGATCTCCATTAGCTACACTATTATCCCTTATATTTCCTATTCCATTCTTTGGGCTATAGTATTTATTATTTATTTATCATTTGGCTATCATTTTGGGCTGGTAGCCTGGTATCTCAGACTTTGTATGTACTCTATTGGACTTAGCGCTCCGAGCAATAATATTACTATTTTCCTACCCCGTTCTGTACTTTCATACTCGGTTTATGGTGGACCTGATCCGATAAAACCATCAATATCCGTACATACAAAAGAAATTACATGTGAGAGCTACATCAATATAACTTACAATAACAAGTAACTTATGGGTAAAAATGTTCTAATTAAACTTTTTTAAAAGACTTCAATGGCTAATATGAAACTTTTTATAATCTAAGTGTGCAATTGACTTTTGTTAATACAACCATTCAATTAATGCATTATGTTACTACAACTAAACACAATATTGTTCTACATGTTAAAAAATCGAGGACCTAGCGTCCTAGCTACCTTGCATGAAAAAGAAATGTATAAATCACATCAAATTAAAATTGCGGATTTCTATTAAAATTTGGACCCATGACTAGAACGTATCACCTAAACATTTCCACCAATAATAATAATAGTAATAATAATAGTAATAATAATAATAATAAAAGAAAAAGATGTTTGTATTAAATTATGTAATTTCGTAACTTAAAAAAAAAAATTATCTATCAATTATTATTGAATTGACTAACAACAACACTAGTTAATTTTTCAAAAGAATAGATACAATACAATACAATATTTCATTTGAGCAAGTATTATCTATAATTAGGAATGTAACGGCAACGTGATGGGGCTTGGTTGGGTACGTATTACGAGACGATGAAGGAACTTTTCTTGCGGCTAAGAACATGAGCAAACCGGGCCATTTTATGGTTAAGGAGGCTGAAGCACTAAGAAAGGCTTTTAATTGGCTAAAGTGCACTAGTATGGGTGATGTGGATGTTGAAATGGACTCACAAATAGTCTTCAATGCCATTCACACTGCTTCTTTTAATTCTTCTTTTTGGTTTTTTAATTGATGATGTTAGGGTAGTCTTCAATGCCATTCACACTGCTTCTTTTAATTCTTCTTTTTGGTTTTTTAATTGATGATGTTAGGGA